TTCTTCATCATAGAAAAATTTTAAATTAGAGTATGTATGTATATACCATGGGACAACCTCCTTTAAATTACAAAGTTATCACATTAAATTCTGTTAAAATCAGCATTTCAGTAAAAATAAGTATGGATATTCAAAAAGCTATTATTAGACAAAAATTCAAAACTATGGTATGAGAAAAATACAATCAAAGGTATAACATTTACAGAATATAGTTCCTGACCTAAAGCACTACATAGGCATGAAACCTATGAAAAAGGATGTGAGAAAGCTTAAGATTCCATTTTAGAAAGAAGAAACTGGTGTTCAGAGAACTTAAACGTATATCCAAATATCTTATGGCTTATAAATGCCACACAAACAATGGAACATATGTTTGACTTAATCATCTTTTTTATGGTAGAGAAATATTAAGTGCAAATTATGTGCCAAACATGTATTCAGAGCTGGATTTTCAGGGAATGTAGATAGTTTCTGCCCTTATGAAAGAGCGTCCAGAGATCTGAGTGGAAAGGATTAGAGGTAATGCAATCTTGATAGAAGACCTTTTCAATAACTCAGGGGTATTGTGTCCTGGAAGTGAGTATTGGCAGTAGTGTTGAAAAGCAAAGTGTCTATTCCAGGGAATGATGCGAAGTAGAATTTATAATTTTGAATTTCAAGGATAATAGAAAAAGAAAGAAACCTAGGGAAAAGAAAACAATTGGAACAGAGATTCATTTTCTTTATGCTTATTTTTAGGGATGAAACATAGCAGAGTGATTAGATAAGGCCAGTGACAGACAGCAGAAAAAATAGGAAGATTTCTCGACTGAAAGAAAAATGTCTCATAATAAAGATTATCAGAAAATGAAATTGGCGGCTTTGTGAAAATCCCTGCTGAAGGCATTTAATAAAGTGCTGGATCACCACTCATTCCTTTGTTGTCAAATTCGAGCACCCAGGAGAAGAATTGATCTTCCTGAGTACATATTCTGTTCCAACTTGGATTTTGTGGCTGTTATAGTAAAAGTAACTTAAAAGTATAGAGTCAATCTGATTCTGACAATGATTTAAATGAAACCCAGACAAGTGAGATAAGTTAAAAACAAAGAAACGAGAAAAAACCCACTTTTTTGGACTGTGTGTTTGGTGATAGAAGGGTCAGATGCTGGGCATAAAGTAGGAAGAAAGGGTTAGTTTGGATTGGACACCTGTAGTTTTAGAAGCCTACTTGTAGATGTATAGCTATAAATCAGGGTTTCTAGACCTCAGTACTCTTTGTTGTTGGGGACTACTCTATGCCTTGTAGGATTAGCTACTTCCCTGGTTTCTACTACTAGATGCCAGTAATGCCAGTAACTTCTCCCGCTCTCCCAAGTCGTGACAACTGAAAATGTCTCCAGACATTACTAAGTGTCTCTGAGGGCAAAAAAACCATCATTGAGAACCACTGATATGGGTGTGCACTAGCTCCATTGTGTCTGTTTTACTTGTAGTGTGGAAAGAAATGAGCCCTAAAATAGGGGCAGTAAAAAGGTAGGTTGCCCCTAAGAGGAACAGAGGTCATTTTGTGGGGGGGCCACTTTATTAATGCAAATGCTTGACCCTGAGACAAAAACCACGTATGATCTATCTTTGAAAACTTTAATTTCCCAAGACAACATCTTTCCTATGGCATGGGCCCAGTTAGTGTTTGTGAAATTCAACTGAGTTGTTCAGTGGATGCCTAGAAAGCAAAGCAACCAACAAAAATGTTTAAGTACATATTAAAATTTTAAAACTAAAATTGGATATGAGGAAACCCAATGTGGAAAAAGCAGAGATTCTTTGTGAATCAGTGAAATCTTTGTGAATCTTTGTGAATTCAGTGAAAACTGAATGCATTTTAGTTAGAAGAGAGGAAGCAGGTAAATGGATTTGTGGTCTTGTTCTCTGGATTAAACCTGGTGTTAGAACTTCAGGAGAGGACTTTAGGCATACAAGGATACAGGAAAGATGGGAAGCACTGTTGATTAAGACACCAAGGCACTGGAAGCCCTGACATTGTTTTCATCTCTCTCTACATCTAGATTTGCTTCAAGAACCAGTGAGCTTTGGAGTTTGTAAATACTCTCTTAAATGAAGTTCATAGTGTTTCAGTGTAAGTTCTTCCAGTATGGTCATATGAACAGGAGTGCAAAAGGAAGTGAAGAGCAGGAGTTTGCATATTTACTTGATTCCAACAGGACCATACTGCACAGAGAATGTTATTGACAGCTGTGTACCCCATGGAAGAACCAAGGAGAAAGGGAGATCTCAGGTCAAGGCAAGCTGCTCAGTTCTGCATAGCATCTCGTTTCTGCTGAGTTCTGTATCTTTCCTATAATACCAACAACTAGGAGCAGGTGTCTGTGAGATCACTTCCCACTAATCTAACTCACCTGGATTATTACAAGGACCATCAGTCATTATAAATGTCTGAAGAACCGTGATAAATAACACGGAATTCTAGTCTTAATCTGTATTATGGATGGATAAATGTTTCAGTCCTTTACTGATAGGAATGAAAAGTTGAAGTTTATTGAAAAATATTTTTTCCCTTGAATCCTTTGCTTTTCTAAGTACTTTTAGTACACCAGATGGATATTCTGTATCCTGCAAGTGGAGAGATAAGTTGCTTGCTCGTGTAAATTTACAGTTGAGGTAATGGATGGTAACATATATATAGTTTTATACACGAATACACGTACACACACACCTATATAACAGATACATAAGTAACAGGTCCAAGCACTAATTACAGGTATCCTCTTGCAGAATCACCATGGTCCTACTAGGACTATAAAGACAAAATTTTTTTAAATATTAGAGAAAATAAAGATGCCGTACACTTTAGACAATTTTGAAATGTCATAGAAATTTTATGGCTGAACACCAGTTCCTGAATTCTGACCATGTTTTCAGCCTCAGTAGAAAAAATGTTCTTTGTGGCATCAATATCGTTTGCTACAGTCATACCTAGACTAGACCCAAATTGAAGCTACAGTGGCTTCAATTTGGATATAGTCTTTGACTCCTATTGACTTTTAAGTTCCTCTTATGTAAAATGTGGATTGGGTCTCAGGTTTGCCTGGAATTTCTATGTGAAAGGTATAGTCTCTTTCCTCAAGAATATCACGCTTTTATTAGTAAACAAGATAAAGTTTCAACAAAGTATTAAGAACTTAAAGCTGGGGGCTGTAGAGCATTAAACTCCAAGCACAGGAACCTTGTCTGAGCACTGGCCTTATAAACTGCACGGATTGCAAACCAGTATGATTGGCTCTGATTGTGCCTTACATAACGGCGTGCTCTCATTCCATGATGGATAAATTGAATTGATCGGTTTAGTGACTATGTAGTGAAATATCCAGTTAAATTTGTGCAGGTAAATATCACCATTCCATACTTGTCTAGGGAGAAGGTAGGGAAGAGTTTGCTATGTGGAAGGATTCATGGAATTTTAAAGAATTGCATATGTGTTGGTCTGCATATAGGAGCAAACAAGAGAATCTACTTGTGAAGTAGAATTTATAGTTTTGAATTTCCAGGATGAAAAAAACAGAAAGAAACTCAAGGAAAAGAAAAAATTGAGACAGAGATCTATTTTCTTTTCGCTTTTCTTCGGGACGAAACATAGCAGAGTGATCAGATGAGACGAGTGACTGACAGCAGAAAAAAAGGGAAAGATTGCCAACTGAAGGGAAAATGTAATCCGCAGTAGCAACGAGGAAAGGCATCCTGAAGAAAGTGATTCCAGATCTGAGTTTTGATGTATAAACAGAAGGTTTTTGGTTGATAATTGACGGTGACAAGAAAAATACTAATGGCAGAAAAAAAATGATACTCATTTTCCTCCTTCATATCTTGAAAAGGTAAGTGTGATAGAGAGGATTATTGGGAAGAAAGAGGGCACCTTGTATTTCAAAATCACAATGAACATTTTTGTGGAAGATTGAGAACTCGTAATAAGTGGGTAATTGAGAATTTTGAACGAGTAGCATGAAATGCATGTATGGAAAGGGGACACAATTTATTTTTGTGCTACTTTATATCATAGAAGTGTTAGTTGTTAAGGGTGGGTTTTTGCTGTCAGCAACCTAAAATTGTCCACTCTCCTTTAGCTTCTGAAGTAAATGTTCAAGGAATAGTAGTGAAAGGAGAAAAAAATGGTTTATTAAATTCTAGGAATGTACCCGTACTTCGTCATGCAAAACTTTGATGAAATCTGTATTGGAGGAAAGAACTGGAGTTTCTGGTTGAAAGATTTTTTTTTATTCCTTATCCAAATGAAGCTGGTTAGGGTTTAAAAGGCTCCTCGATGACAGTTACATAGCTTAAGAAATGGGAGAAAAAAGGAGGGCTTTTCTGCCTCCCGAAGGTCTTGGTTTGCCTGGTGTATGGAAGGAAAATGTAAAAAGCACCTGCAGGCAGCATACAGTCTGGCTTTGAATGATCAGATGTGAACATGTTTCTTGGGATTTGAGGGAGGTCGGACAAGGAGTAGATGTGGAAGTGCAGAATGAGTTGGAGAAAGAAGCCTGGCAAGAAGTTGTAATGATTCAGGAAAGAGAATAGAGGTGTCTTCTTCCCTATGGGTAGAGGTAGACATTTTAGGAAAAAAGAGAGAGAAAAAAAAAGAAAAAAATTTGTTAAGAACCCCCCAAAAACTAGTACGGAAAAAAAAAAATTAACGAAAAGAAAATTTGAAAAACAAGAACAACCTTAAAATTGGGCACATGATTTCATTGAGATAGTTCTTTGGCAGAGCAGATTAAAACGATGCTCCTGAAATGAAACTAGAGGCTCCAAAATAATTGCCTCATTTTAAGCAAAATATTATGCTTATAATTTATATGAAATATAAATTGATGGTCAACAGTGACTGACACATAATAGCTGTTCAAATATTTGTTGGCTAAGTCAGGGAGTGAATGATACGCTTTGGCAATTACTGACAGTATATAAAGGTCTCAGGGAAGCAGAAGACATCCACACCTCAGAAGCATCTTCTTGAAACCCATCTCAATTCTCTCCTCTTGACAACATGTGTTGCAACTACTATGGCAACTCCTGTGGCTATGGCTCCGGCTATGGCTGTGGCTATGGCTCCGGCTATGGCTGCGGCTATGGCTCCGGCTATGACTGTGGCTATGGAACTGGCTACGGCTGTGGGTATGGCTGTCGGTTTGGCTCCCGTTATGGCTGTGGTTATGGAACTGGCTATGGCTGTGGATACAGCTCTGGCTCTGGCTACTGTGGCTACCAGCCATTTTGCTTTAGAAGATGCTATTCTTCCTGCTAAAACATCACTGTCAGACGACCATTTGCTTCTAAAATGACACGTCTAAAGATAATGCTGATTCAAGGATTCATACTCCAAGATTTCTATATCCAAGAATTACATGCTTGACAGAGTTTTGGACCTCTAGCCTCACATTTCTTTGAATGAAATCACGGCCATGGGATCCATGGTGTCATCTGACTGTTTTCCAAATGTTATCTTTTTCTCCCTTAATCTCTGATTCTCTGTTATGACTGCAGAGAATGACTGTTAATGATCATAACATCCGTAGTTGGAGAAGTCAATCTTTTGCAATAAAAATGGTTCTTTATTTCTAAAAATCTTTGTGTACTTGCTTGTGAATTACTCCTTTCTTGGGGTGTTTTGGTATCTCTTGAAAATTGGGCTAACAGTATGCTGGCTGAACCTTAGGTATTTCTTTGATACACCGCAATTATTTCCTCTTATACTTGCATCATAAATAATGTCTTCTCTACCTGCTTCTCATATCCCACATGCTCAGGCTCTCACATGCCCAAGCACAAATCACAGATTATTTCAGAACTGTGTTTTGGAAATGGCACTGAGTGTCTAGAATGGAGCTGGAGGGGGAAAGGGAGGGGAAGTGACACCTATTCAGGATGTTATGACAAAAGTCTCAGGGAGGAGATATAGCCTGATTGCTTAAAGAAATAATGTAATCTCAGCACTTTGGGAGGCCGAGGTAGGTGGATGACCTGAGGTCAGGAGTTCGAGACCAGCCTGGCCAACATCGTGAAACCCTGTCACTACTAAAAATACAAATATTAGCGGGGCTTGGTGGTGCATGCCTGTAATTCCAGCTACTCAGGAGGTGGAGACGGGAAAATTCCTTGAACCCTCAGGAGGCAGAGGTTGCAGTGAGCCGAGATTGCGCCACTGCACTCCAGCTTGGGTAACACAGTGAGACTCCATCTCAAAAAAGAAAAAAAAAAAAGTAATGCAATAGAAGAGATCACTTCCAGGATTGTTGAAAATTTTGAGTCAGGCTCAAGTGTTAGGTATGAGGAATAAAAACCTAAAAAAGGGTAAGTTAGAAGAAAAAGTGTACTATCAAATTTATCTACATCTGACAAAAGCACAAATATATTTGTTTGCTTACATGGAGGTTGAGAAATGTGATTTAATTCACTTAACAAATAGTTTTGCATAGACACCATCCTAGACACTGAAGACACAGAAGAAAAATTATAAGCAAATGTCCTGTTCTCAGAGTGTTTATAGTCTAACAGATGAAGATTTAAAAAAGCAAAAATAGGCCGGGCCCAGTGGCTCACGCCTGTGAATCCCTGCACCTTGGGAGGCTGAGGTAGGCGGATCACTTGAGGGCAGGAGTTGGAGACCAGTCTGGCCAAGATGGCGAAACCCCGTCTCTACTAAGAACACAAAAATTAGCCAGGCGTGGTGATGGGCACCTGTAATCCCAGCTACTTGGGAGGCTGAGGCACGAGAACCACTTGAACCTGGGAGATGGAAGTTGCAGTGAGCCAAGATCGCATCATTGCTCTGCAGCCTGGGCAACAAGAGCAAAACTCCGTCAAAAAAAAAAAAAATAAAAATAAAAATAAAAAAAAAGCAAAAACGAATTATGATGAATTCAGACAGATAATTGCTATAGAGGGAATAAAGCAGCTTAATGGAGAGGAGATTAATGTATGTTTGAAGTACTGGAGAGACAGCTCAGAGAAGTATTTTGAGATTGTGACATTTGAGCTCATAATACAACATTTTCAGAGCAAAGACAGACTAAAAAGGACAGTAGTAAGTACCAAGGGGGAGAGCAGTTCATTGAGTTTTGGATGTGATGAAGGTGATGACACAGTTTTCGGTTAGAAAAGAGCAAGGTCTAGTATCTTAATGGAGTTCTTTTTAGATTGGGGTGGTCATAAAAATGAGATTAAGGGGTTTGTTCTAGTTTCCTGGCTGACTTTCTGATGTGGAGTGTTTACTGCTTCTTGGATTCTGATTTTAGTGTCCTTTCCTCCAGTTCTAGACCATCCAAACTCTATCATTTAAATCTTACAACAGAGAGTCTTCTGGATTCAGTAGAAACTTCTCACAGTCAGCAGTAATAACGGTGTCCCTGTTTCATCCACACACCAGGGACCATTACACCAAGTCTGGCTCTCTGAGGTCCCTGGAGCTGGGTGACCCCACAAAATGTCTGGTTCTAAGAAAGATAGCCCAACAATCAATATCAGCCCAGGAGGAAGACTACATCCAGGATGGAATCTGTCCAACTGATGGACAATCGGGGTTTCTTCCAAGAGCAGGATACCTTTCACATCTGGAGTATTTGTGAGTCAGATCTGTGGACTAACTGCTTTCTGGAACTCTGAGGTTATTATAGTATTGCAAGCAGTGGATGACACTTAACATATCTTCAAAACCTGAAATATTGTGGCTATCTCAGTTTAAGAAAATTTTGAGACATTCAGCTTGTGTGAAATGAGAAAATGGTGATAATGGTAACAGAGACAGAGATGATAAAATTAGAGAAGGTTCGTGCGTGTGTGTGTGTGTGTGTGTGTGTGTGTACACACTTGTGTAGGTGTGGCCTGTTTGGTGGAGGTTGGGAAAAATGGATATGTGAATTCACATGTGTAATCACATTATGGAGGGAAGGAAAAACTATTTATATTTCACAATACTTTATGTGGTTGGAAAATGATTTAAGCTTCAAAGCTCCTTTATAAAGAAACACAAAAGTCCTTTTTTTGGAATATGTTATTACATATTGTAGAGGATGTAAATTGTAAAATCTAAATTGTAAAATTTGTTCTTTTAGTTATTTAACAAACATTAAGATTCATGTTTCAGCTATGTGATGTGATTGGTGTGGAGACAGAGAGATAAAACACAGAGTCCCTTCTAAGAATTCAAAATCTTCAGCGGGACACAAAATACTAAATCATACATAGCAGGTATGCTTGCAGGTATGATGGCGTTACCAAGAAGAGCTCAAGGGGGAAACTTAAATCCGAATGTGGAAAGAGAAGGCTTGACAAGGGTCAGAAATTGCTTCCAAAGAATGATAGGAAGAGAGCCATAAAGGATGAGGTAGATTTGGTCAGTTACAAGAGACGGAAAATGGAATTCAAGGCCAAGAAATTCAAGGAAAGAAGAAAATAAGCTGTCAGTTTATTGAAAGAGTAGGAGGCTCCACTGTGAAATTTTAATCAGTATCCACTTCCATAAAAGAATTATCACATCTCTTGAGTGAGCTGCACTGTCTGATATGGTGCTACTAGCCAGCTGTTGAGCGCTCAAAATATGGATAGTTCAAAATGAAATGCACTGTAAGTGTAAAATACACAGTAGATATCAAAGACTTAATAGAAAAAAAGAATGAAAGTATCAAATACATTTAAATTATTTATTATATATTAAATGATAATATTTTGAGACATTAGGGTGAATACAATATGGTATAAAATTAATTCACCTGTTTCTTTTTATCTTTTTAAAATGTGGACATTGGAAAATTTAAATTTCTCAATATGTTTCATGGTATATTTCTATTGTAGAGTGTTGTCTTAGAGGGCCAATCATAACAAACTGGCCACGTAAGGACACTGGCTAGAAAGAGAAGTCATGTTAGGCCACTAGCAAAGATTAGGAAGTCTAACCATGTTATCCAGGTATAAGCAGTAGGTCAGCCTGAGGCCATAGGACCAGAGTTGCCAGTGCTGCAGACTTCAGGGGAGGAGCAAAGTCCCTGTATACACAAATTTTCCATCTGGGATAGTTTATTCAGTAAATCTGTGCCTTAGTTTGTTTTGTGCTGCTACAACAGAATACCCGAGACTGGGTAATTTATAATAAACAGAAACTTATTAGCTCATAGTTCTGGTGGCTGGAAAATCCAGTATCAAAGTGGTGAGGGTCTTCCTGCTGCATCAAAACATGGCAGAAGGCATCACATGGTGAAAGACCAAGAGAGGGCAAGAGAGAGAGCAAGATGGGGTGAACCCATTCCCGCAATAACAGACTTGCTCCTGTGATAATGGTTTTAGTCCATTTATAAGGGTGGAGCCTTCAAGATCTAAACACCTCATAATGGTCTTACCTCCCAATACCTTCCCAATGGCAATTAAGTTGCAACATGAGTTTTGAAGGGGGCAAACATTGAAACCACAGCAATGGGATTGATCAGTGTCCCACCTGTTTAGATACAAAGATAGAAATACCTACCTCACACTATATGCATAAGAAATTCCACATTGATTAAAGTTCTGCACATGAAAGTTAAATTATGAAAGTACTAGAAGCTGGTATAGAGTTTTAGGAATTTTGGCTAGGATTGTAAAGACCACAAAGAAAGAAAATCCAGATGGTAGAGGTGTAAGACAAAAGTTGCAAAATATTGGCAATTTTAGTCAAACGAAGTGCATATTTTCCATTTGAAAAACTAAAGGAAAAAATAATTTATGGGTCCTTCCTGAGCTTTAATATTCTTGCAGGGGTTAAATCGATTTGATTCTACCACTAAACAGCTGAGAGTCCTTGGGCAAGTGACAACTACCTGTGGCTTCTGTTTTCACATCTGTGATGTGTGTAAAAACAAAAACCATAGGTACATGGAAGTTGCTTTACATCACTAATCATCAGAGAAATACAAATCAAAATCACAGTGAGCTATCACCTCATACCTGGTGTGATGGGTATTATAAAAAAGATAAGAGATAACAAGCGTTGGTAAGGAAGTGCCATAAAAAACATTTGTGCACTGTTTTTGATGGAAATATAAATTCATATGGCCATTATGGAAAACAATATGGAGGTTCCTCAAAAAATGACAATTAGAACTACCACATGATTTAACCCTACTTCTGGGTTTATATGTGAAGGATACAAAATCAGTAGCTCAAAGAGATATATGCATTCCCATGTTTGTTGCAGCACTATTTACAATAGCCAAGACATGGAAAGAACCTATCTGTTCACTAATGGGTGAAGGAAAAAATAAATTGTGGTGTATATTGGTAATGGAATATTATAAAAAGGAAAGAAATCCTGCCATTTGCAACAGCATAGATAAACATGGAAGACATTATACTAAGTGACAAGTCAGCCAGAGAAAGACAAATGCTGAGTAATCTTACTGATATGTGGAATCTAAAAAAGTAGAATTCAAAAACAGAGTGGAATAGTGGTTGCCAAGGGGTCGGGGAGGTGGAAGAAATGGGAAGATGTTAGTTTAAGAGTACAAATCTTCAGTTACAAGAAGAATAAGTTCTGGAGATACAGTTTACCTCATGGTAACTAACTATAGTTAGCAATACTGCATTGTATGCTTGAAATTTGCTGAAAGGGTAGATCTTAATTGTTCTCACCAGAGAACAAAACAAAAATGCTATTTATGTGATTATTGTGTTAACTTACTTGATTGTATCAATCATTTCTCAGTAAATATGTGTATCAAATCATCATGTTGTCTAACTTAAGCTCACATGATTGTCTTTGTCCTTTATGCCTCAATAAAGCTGGAAAATAACAAAAACACAACTTCTTACTTTACATTGTTTTCATAAGAATCAAAGTAAGTAATAAATGTAAACGTGACTCAAAAATTGTAACAGGATGTCTACTTTGGAAAATGTCTATTCATGTTCTTTGTCCACTTTTTTCATGAAATTATTTGTGGTTTTTTTTTTGGTGGTTGTTGTTAAAGTGTTTGAGTTTCTTGTACATTCTGAATATTAGCCCCTGTCAGATGCATAGTTTGCAAATATTTTCTCCCATTCTTCAGGTTGTCTGTTCACTTTGTTAATTATTTCTTTTGCTGTGCAGAAGCTTTTTAGTTTAATTAAGTCCCATTCATCTATTTTTGTTTTTGTTGCATACTTTTGAAGTATTAGTCATGGATTATTTGCCTTGACCAATGTTCAGAAGAGTTTTCCCTAGGTTTTCTTCCAGTATTTTTATTGTTTCAGGTCTTACATTGCAGTCTTTATTACATCTCGAGTTGATTTTTGTGTATGGTGAGAGATGGGGTCCAATTTCATTCGTCTGCATATAGCAATCCAATTTTCCCAGCATCGTTTATTGAAGAGTGTGTCCTTTCCCCAATGTATTTTCTTGTTGACTTAGTCAAAGAACAGCTGGCTATAAATATATGGCTTTATTTCCAGGTTCTCTCTTCTTTTTCAATGATCTATATATCTATATTTATACCACTACCATACTGTTTTGGTTACTATATTCTTGTATATATATTATACACATATACAATACTATACATATAATGTTGTGTATACAATAAGTTTTGATAAATGAATTCGGTAACATTTTTTGGTAAAGTTGTTAGGTTTTTCTTTATTTAAGATCATATCATCGGCAAATAGACATACTCAACATTGCTAACCATCACAGAAATGCAAATTAAAACCACAGAGACATCATCTTATACCACTCAGAATGGCTGTTATTGAAATGACAAAAAATAACAGATGTTGGTGAGGATGTAGAGAAAACTATAAAGGGAAATATAAATAATAATAGTTATTATTGTTATCTTTCTCATATAACATCCTCTAAATTAAAATAAAAACATTTACCGCTGGAAGAAATCTCATAGGCTTTCATTTAAGTTAGTGAGTGCCCCTAGTTTGTTAGATTCACAGAAAATAAAGACAAAGTTATTGACCATAAATAACTCACAATCATCTGAGGGAATCAGATAAATAAAATAAGAGTATGCCAGTATAACATATTGAGGACCATAATAGAATTGAGCAAATAGATCCCTAGAAGAATGGTGGAGTGATGCTTAACACTTATTGTGAATGTCCAGGAATGCTTTCATAGGAGACATAGCCTAAGCTGTGCTTTGAAGGATCAACAGGATTTTGGCAGGTAAAAATTGGAAGTCAGTAGCAAAGACATGGAATCAACTTAAATTTCCATCAATGGTAGGCTGGACAAAGAACACATGGTACATATACACCATGGAATACTATGCAGCCATAAAAAAGAACAAAATCATGTCCTTTGCAGAAACATGGATGGAGCTGAGGCTATCATCCTTAGCAGTAAACTAATGAAAGAACAGAAAACCAAATACTGGAAGTTCTCACTTATAAGTGGGAGCTAAATGATGAGAACACATGGGCACAAAGAGGGGAACAACACACAGGGGCCTACTTGAAGGGGGAGGGTGGGAGGAGGGAGAGAATGAGAAAAAATAACTTTTGAATACTAGGCTTAGTACCTGGGTGATGAAATAATCTGTACAACAAACTCCTGAGACATGAGTTTACCTATATAACAAACCTGCACATGTACCCCGGAACCTAAAATAAAAGTTAAAAAAAATTTGATGAAGTGGGCAAGATGTTTCAAAGAAAGTAACACACCGAAAAGTTCCAAGAAATCTTAGGGTAGATTATGGTGCATTGGGCAAAATCCTATTGCTTTTATTTTACTATATTGTATCAGACCTCTGTTTTACATCACTTCAGATCTTTGCCTCACCTGTCTCTTGCTCTAGCCACCACTGCAGTGGCCATCCTGCATGGGCTCCATCTACTTTCTTGCAAGTGTAACCTAAGAATGCCTCATTTTGTGCCTTTGCTGTTTGCTTCTCAACTCTAGTCTGGGTAATTTCTTGTTGATTACTGAGATGAAAAATGCTGGGACATCTCCCAGTGCACAGGTATGTATGTACCTGGAAGTACAGAAGAGATAATAGCCCCTGGAGTAAAAAAATCTAAATTAGGTTTGATTACACTCCACAAAGCATGCTTGTTCCATGTGCGGGTTACAGCTGTTTCTTTACAATTCTCATGGCTGGCTAGGGGCAAATCCTGGTCATAATTACCTGAAACACTCATTGTCCTTAGAATGATGAACTTTTTAAAAATGTAAATTGCTGTTGTAATGAGGCCACAGAGTCTGTGTTGTGTGCTCCACCCACTTCTGGTTGTATATAAAGGTCTCAGGGCAGAAGATGACATTCAGACTTCAGAATTGCCCACCTGCTTCTCTACTGAACTACTAAACACCCATCTCTAGACACCATGTGTTGCAACTACTACAGAAACTCATGTGGTAGCTGTGGCTATGGCTCTGGCTACGGCTGTGGCTATGGCTCTGGCTACGGCTGTGGCTATGGCTCTGGCTACGGCTGTGGCTATGGCTCTGGCTACGGCTGTGGTTATGGCTCTGGCTATGGCTGTGGATATGGCTCCAACTATGGTTGTGGATACGGCTCTGGCTACGGCTCTAGCTCTAGTTGCTGTGGCTACCGGCCATTTTGCTATAGAAGATGTTATTCTTGCTGCTAGAAAATAACTGCTGTGGACCTTTTCTTCTAAAAGGACCATTTCAAGGCCATTTCTGTTTCAATGTCCTACAATTCCATCAGATTCTACGGAACAGAGAGCAGTCAGAACCTGCAGAAAACAGATCATCTTATGAAATCCTGCTTACTGTTGTGGGGGCCTGAGTTACCCCATGATGTTTCTGGAAGACAGAAGACCTAACTCTGGCCATGGTCCAGATGTAAACCTACTACCTTCTTATTTTATGTTTCTATATTGTAACTATTTCCAAATAAACATGTTTCATTGGTCCTAACAAGTTTTTCTTCTTTTTTTTGTTTCAGGCATGCTATTGACTTACACTTTTGTCTTATATTTCTATGATGTCTTCAAAGATTGGGTGGGCTAATGCTAAGCTGCTCTTTCTAATTGTGCTTTCCATTCTGCTTGGTCCATGCCTGTGACGTACTGGATGTCACGTATTTTAAATATAGTCCCTGAAAAAAATGGCTGCTTATTGGCTGAGTCTTCTGTTCTTAATTGATTTTCATTAAGGGTTTGGTCTTAAGTATTTGTGTTTCATGACTCTGGGTCTATCCATTTTTTCCACATTAACGAGCAATAACGCACACACACACACACACGCACACACACACACACAGAATGCCACAGAAAAGCCTGCTTTAGGAAAATGCTAATGGCACAAAAATGGGTTGGAATGGAAGAGACAGAAAGGTTAAAATGTAAGTATAATAACGATTTGGATACTGGTTAAAGAGATCTGCACTTCAGTGTAGATAATGAAAAAGAACAGATGAACATCAGAGACTTGGTGAAGGTAGAACCTGTAAAATCTTAGACTTCAATAGAGAAAGAAAAAGGAGAAACATCTAGGGAAGAAAATATCTAAAAAGTATGTATTTTTTCCTTAGCACTTAGAATTGTGGGGAATTTGGGGTCGTATATATAGTTATATATCTTCAGGACTGGTATTGCAAAATTAGTAAGACTAGTTTTGCAGATGTGCCCTGTGTTGTTTTTGAGAAACTAATTAGATGGAATGTGTAACAATGACATAAATTCCTCAACACAAGATCTCTTTTTAATATGTGACAGCATCTGAAACAAGAATTACTTCCTCATTAGGCGCTCTATTATTGGACGTATTTAAACCTCGGTTGGCTCTCTCTCTCACTGTTAAGAGTTATTCTAGGAGGAAGTTACAAAGTCAGAAAGAGGTATGGAATTAACTGATCTTACGTATCCATTTTTACTTCCATCCTAATCTAGGATACTAAAGAAAGTGATTTGTGCTTTGAAACTTGATTGTGAAAATGGTGATGCTGTATAAAAAAAAAAGTACAGAATGAGAACTTTTATGTTTCTATATCTGGAAGGAGGGCCCAATTGTAATATGTCTGGCTGCAGAAATCTAATACTAATACTCATTTGGGATATAAAAAGACAGTCAGAACTGAAGTCAAGATTCAGCCACCCATGGTCAAATAAATTCTGTTCCCAGACACCCTTGATTCTTGAAAAAACATTGAAGTCTTGAGAAGAGGTAGGGCAAAAGGGCATGGATGAAGAGATTGTTTTCTTGAAGGTATAGAATCACTTCTAAATTAGATAACCGTGAAGTCTCATTTATCAAATATTTATTGAGCTCCTAATAAAACACATTTCATTATGTACTATGAACAGTGAAGTAAAATATTTCATCCTTGCTTTCCAAAAACATAGGAAAGGCATAGAAGACCACAGGCTACAAAGATTGGAGTATTGCTATAAAACAGTTACACACAGAAGTATTTGAGAAGTACAGGGGAATAAATCAGAAGAAGGGCCAGGACTAAGAAAAAGTAGAAAGAAGGATGAGGAAGCTTTCTGAAAAAGAGACAAATTTCTAGCTGAAATATGAAGGATGAATAGAAGTTGATCAATCATAGAAGAAAGAAATATCCTTCTAGGCAGGGAAGAAAAAAATAAATATTTAGTGGGTAAAATGTACATTATTTGAGTGATGAATACAATAAAAACCCAGACTTTACTACTATGCAATATATCTGTGAAACAAAATTGCACTTGTACCCTTTAAGTTTATATAAATTAAAAAGTTCACATATTGGAATGTTATTGCTACAGCCATTATCTCTCCTGGGAGAAATGTAATCACAGTTGAGCCAAAAAGAAAAAACATTGCAGGTGTGAATTGTTGCTATTCTCAGATGGCCCCCAATAACCGTACGCTTGTGTGGTTTACTCTCATTGAGTGTGGGAAGGGACCTATAACTTGTCTCTAATCTTACTAAAGATGATGGGATATCTCTTCTGTGATTACATTATGTTTAGGGTTAGCAGATAAAACACAAAATAAATCAATGTAAATTTCAGATTAAAAATATATGTCTTTTTAGTATAAGTATGTTTTATGCAATATTTGGGGCATACTTACGAAATCTGGCAATTCAAGTTACATGGCAAAGAGATTTTGCAGATGTCCTGGCTGACACCTTAATTACAATGATGTGAGACCTTGAGGCAAAATCCTAGCTAGGTTGTGCTTAGACTTCTGATCTATGAAAACTGAGATAATAGTGGATGTTGTTTTAAGCTGCTATTTTGGTGATAATTTGTTATGCATAATGGAAAATGATTAACACACACTTCTTCTTCTATTCTCTAAATTACCTGGTAAGAGGTGTGGTTGTCTTGGATAACCGGGATAACATACCTGCACATCAGCAGAGATTAGGAAGCCAGCCATTCCAATGAACTTCAAGGACACACTATTCTCGAGTGAAAATGAACAGGTGAGAGACACTAGCAGCCATATTTGGTGGGAGTGCCCTGGGTACAAAACATTTAAATAAATTTTATCTAGGACCCCAATTGACAATGAAAAAAATGAGAGACCCTAAAGCATATGGGGAATTTTATAACAGAGTAATTACACAGTGAAATGGATAACCACACGAAATAATGACATCCCTGTTACAGTAAGTATTTAAGCACCCGATGATGAGGAAGGGAGGTCATTATATTATATATATGTGCATTGAAACATCACATTTTACACCATAAATGTGTACATTATGTGTCAATTACAAATTCCAAATTAAATAAAATATGTTGGCTCTTCTAGTTATTTTGCCTTTCCATCTAAACATTCAAGTCAGTTTGTTAATATCTACATATATATCATGCTTAGATTTTGATGGGGATAGAGTTGAATCCATAGATCCATTCTGGGAGAATGAACATCTTAACAATATTGAGTTCAATCCACAAATATGGCATTGATATATCTCTGTACGTATTTGTTTCAAAATAAATTTTGGTGCTCTGTTACACAATAGAGTGACAATAGCAAATAACAATGTACTGATTGTATGTAGCACAGCAAAGAAGAATACATACTTGTGCTTCATATGTGCCTTTAGTAAGTTTCCTAAACTTTTTTCCACCTCAATATCTATAGTATGCTACCTACCTCTTTCATGTTTTAATTTTGATTAAAATAAAAAGATTAAAAGGAATTTAAAATTCATAAAACATTCAACAGCTGTTATCATACAGGATACTCATTTGTTGTTGTTCTAGTTTGAACTAAATAAATATCTAGAGGTGATTAATATTTGTTAAGGAATTTCTCCAGAAGTAAATACATATTATCAGAATATTGTATCCATGGCTATTTGAATTCATAGAAACTCTGTAACATGAAATATTGAGGAGTTTCTGTATACAGCAGCATTGGGTTCCAATGAAATCACCTACAAAGGAATTAGTAATTAGCAAGCTAGTCAAAGTAATGGGTCAAACTCATTTTATTGATTGCATTTTCAAACATCAACTGCCTAACCCTTCCTAGAGCCTTCCTGTGTAAAATGTATCTTTGGAATCATGTGTTCAGATGACTGGCTAATGGATAGAAACTGTTCTTAGAGATTTGTAATTGGCTCAAGACAATGCCTGCGTGACAAAAAAAATGGATCCTCAATAAAACTGGAAAACCTATAATAATATGTTTATTTAAGGCATATGCTATAGCTATGAAAAGACCAGGTCCTCTCATTTTCAACTGAGTGGGGTGATTTGCACATACTAGGTATTAAACCTATTTTGCACGAATCATGAAATTGATGATGTGCCCTGGCTCCTCCTGTCAGGATGTAAAGGTTCTAGGGTCATATGTTACATTGAAACTTCAGAAACATCCATCTGTCCTCGACTAAATCTCACCTTCTGGCACCATGAGTTTCAACTACTATGGGAACGCCCATGGGGGCTGCGAATATGGTTCCAGATATGGATATGGGTCTGGTTCTGACTGTGGCTGCTGTATCTACCAACCATTTTGCTACTGAAGATGCTACTCCTCTTGCTACTAGAGCATCATCCTAGAATCAGCCTTTGAAATAATATTTTAAGATTAATACTTCTTCCCAGGGGATATCCCATTTTAACATCTCTACATTCATGTAAGGATTGGATATTATCTGTTTTTACTTCAACAAACCTGTTCATTTTTGAGAAGATATTAATACTCCCATTATGTTACCTGGAGACAGAAGATTTTATTCTAATTATATTCAAAATGTAAATTACTAGATTTTGCATGGCTGATCCATAAATACTTCTTAGTTGGAGGAAATTACACTTTTTTCATAAACAAATTTCAGTTATTTTTGTAAAAATTTGTGTTTTTTTGCACTACAATCATCACTGACTTTAGTGTTTACGTCTTCCCTGGAATTTCGGGCAAGTGGTTTATTAGTGGAGCCTTAGATTTATTTATTCCTTCAATCACTACTTATTTATTGCCCATTCTTTCATCAATATCACATAGTTTTGTTTTTTGCAGGACTGTAGTAACTCAGCATTAGGTAGTGTGAGGCTTTCAACTTTGATTTCTTTTCAAAATTATTTTGACTGTGAGTACAAAATTATAGTTAGAATAAATTTTGGTGTTCCATTACACAATAGAGTGACTATAGCAAATGACAATGTATTGCATATTT